TCTTCTCATGATTAGAGTGGGGTTATGGTTTTCTGGGAGTAGACCACAGAAGCAAAGTACCATTTTTTATCACATCATCTCAGGAGTACACACTGTCACCGTGACTTATTTCGTTTGATTGTTGGTGTTGATTTTGATATTGACCTTGATCACCTGGCTGAGGCAGTGCTCGTGAGGTTTCTCCACGGCAAAGAGGCTCTTCCTTCCCCCTTTTCTGACTGTACCTTTTGGAAGGAGGTCTCTGTGCACGGTGGGGTTCATGCTCCCTTCTTAAGGACACAGTATCCACGTGCATCACTCGGAATCTGCCTGAGAGATTGTACTCTTCTCGCTATTTATTTATTTATTGAGTCATTTATTTTGCTCTGTAAGATTCTGAACTTCTGAGTTCATTGAGGCTTGTTTGTTGGCCTGTATGTGATCTGTGTTGATGGACATTCCATCTGTTCAGGAAGACTGTCTCGTAGCTGTCGGGTTTGGCGCCCATAAATGTAAGTTACATAGAGTTCGTCAGTAGTGCCGCTTAGACACCCTAATCCTTTCTGAGCTGTTGCCTGTTTGCTTTTTACTCAGTTACTGAGAGAGGAGTGTTCACATTGCCAGCTCAGATTAGTACTGGTCTATTCCTCCCTTCAGTTTTGTCAGTTTTGCTTCATGTGTTTTGTTACTCTGTTTTTAGAGACATAAACATTTGTGACTTTTTATGTCTTCCTTATGAATTGGCCCTTTTGCCATTAAAAAACGTTCCTCTTTACCTATGGCAGTATTCCTTAACTTGAAGCCTATTTTGTTTGCTATTTATATAGTAAGCCCATACTTCTTATGCTCACTGTATATATTTGTTATGGACTGGATTATGTCCCCTCAAATTCATGTGTTGAAGTCCTAGCCCCAAGTAACTCAGAATGTGAATGTGTTTGGGGAGAGGGCCTTTAAAAAGGCAATTAAGTTAAAATGGGGCCAATAAGGAAAGTACTAATGCAGTCTGGCTTGGGTTCTAAAAAGAAGAGTAAATTTGTTCACACTGAGAGACACCAGGGATGCCTGAGTACGGAGGAAACACCCGGTGAGGACGCAGCGAGAAGGTGGTGCCTCTAAGCCAAGGTGAGAGGCCTCGGAAGGAATGAAACCTGCTGGCACCTTGACCTTGGACTTCTGGCCTCCAGAGCTCTGTGAAGATAAATTTCTGTTGTTTAAGCCACCCAGTCTGTGGCATTTTGTTATGGCAGCGAACTAATATAATATCCTTCCCTTCTTTTCTTTTAAGTCCATCTTTTATAGACAACATGTAAATGGGTGTTTTTATTTCATGCAGTCTGACCATTGCTGCCTTTAGTTGTGGTGTTTTATTTATATATGATCTAATTATTGATATGGCTGGATTTAGTCTTGTCATTTTTCTATTGGTCCCCTCTGATTTTTCTTCTACTGTCTTCCTTTTCTGCCTCCTTTTGGGATAATTGAGTATTTTTTTAGTATTCTCTTTTAATACTTTTAATGGCTTTTGTCAACACCCCTTTGATTGTTTTTATTATTGGAGGTACTTTAGGAATTATAATATGCATATATTCTTATCACAGTCTACTTAGAATTCATGCTGTATGACTTTCACATACAGTGTTACAGTCTTGCAACCGTCTCCCTCATTTACCCTTCCCATCCTGTGTGGAAATTCTGCCACACAGTACAGTGTTGTAATTCTTGCTTTAAGTGGTATTTTAAAGAAACCAAGAGAAGAAAGTGTATCACATATTTGTAGTTGTTTGAATTTACCCACATTTTTACTATTTCTGCTGCCCTTCTTTGTTTTCTATATGGTGTTATTTCTCTTCAGCCTGGCAACAAGTTCTCTCAGTTTTTACTTCACCTTCACTTCCCCCTCCCCACTTTTGAAGGATGTTCTTGCAGGATATGTAATTCTGGGTATGTAGCTTTATTTTCTTTCAAGCTTTTCAACGCCTTATGGCCTCCCTTGTTTATGGTGAGAAATCAGCTGTGCACAGCTGTTCACGTGTACACCTAAAGTTTCATTTTTCTTCAGCAGCTTTCAAGATTGTATCCTTGCTTTCAGAAGTTTGTGATGTACTCAAATCACAGTTTGACTGTGATTTTCTTTGTTTTTATTTTTCTTGTGGTTTGCTGAGCTTCTTTTATCAGTACGTTAGTTTTTCATCAATTGGGGGGAAATTTCAGCCATTGTATCTTCAAATATTATTCCTCAACTCTTTCTGCTCCTTTCTTGGGACTCCACGTACACATATTTTGGACGGTTTGATATTGTCACACAGATCACTGAGACTCTGGTCATTATTGTTTTAACATATTTTTTCTTTCTTCAGATTAGGTTACAGGTTAACTTTATTATCTTCAATGACTGTTCTTTCATCTTCAATCTGCTATCAAAGCTCATTTAATAAATTTATTATTTCTGATATCGTATCTTTCAATTTTTGATTTCTACTTGGTTCTTTTTTATTATTTCTTTTCTCTTTTGAGATTCCTGATCTATTTGTTCTTTATTACCATTCCTTCCTTTAAAACCCTTAAATATATTTATAATAGCTGCTTTAAAGTTCCTGCTGCTAATTCCAAGATCTGGGTCATCTTACGGTTGGTTTCTAGTGATTGAATTTTCTCTTGACTGTGGGCCATTTCCCCTTACTTCTTCCAGAGCCTGGGATGTGTCATCTTTCTTTAGAAGTTTACTGGGATCTTGATGCGGCTGTGTCTGTGGGTATTTTTCAAATAAAATAAAATTTCTCTCTTTAAAGGAAACACAAGCTAGAGTGATTAGAAATCCAGCATTAAATTTTTTTCCTTGTTTTCAATAATTCTGTCTGAATTAGGCAAAATTGCTGACTTCATTTGTGTATGGAAAAAACCTTGACTATTTTAAAATTCTGAAATTTTTCAACCTTGCTCCCTCTAGATTTTCCCAGTGCTCCCCTCCCATAATTCCTCCCGTAATTCCTTTTATTCTCATAGTTCGATGTACTTTTGTGTGATAATACAAAAAGGAAAAGCTAAGAGAAGCTGAGATAAATTTTATTTTTTTTTAAAGAAGAAAGGAAAGAGGCGGGGTTACATTTTTATAAATATCCATAAATATAGAGCGATAGGCAAAAATCTTCCAAATAAATAAATAAATATTGCCACGTGCTAAGTGACCTAAGACATTGTGAGGCTCTCTTAGCTCTGCCAAAGAGAAAACCCCAATGAACCAGTTTTCTGCCGAAGTCCTTTCCATTTAGGTTTCCAGTAGCTTTTATACACTATAATATCTTGAACGGAAAATGAAAACTATAAAGAAAATAGTTGCCATGCACTGCTATATAATTATTATACACAGTCTGAGTGTTTTGAAGTAGGAACTCATCCTTCAAGATCAGCCTAAAACCATAGGTGAGAGCAGTTGACCAATGTTTCATAAGTAAAAGAATGGATCCGTTTTTAAGGTTAGGTGCGTGATGGCAGTAGGGGGAGAAGGTGACTGGGAGGGAGCTGCTGTTCACATCTACTCTGCTCGGGCATGTTCTGCTCTTCAGGTGGCCATTTAAATAGAGGTAGGAAATGGGGCCCCTGAGGATGACTTAAGTTATCAGTCTCCCCCTGCCCGGTGCTCAGCTGTTCTGTAAGTGATGGTTGGTTTTGCTCAGGGTAGTGCTGGGGCTCCTGGGACTGAAAGCTGTCTTCATTTGGTGCCCCCAGAAAGTCCAAGTGTAGTAAGACCCAGACACGCCCGCCTAGGAGTGTTTTAGCCAAGCCTCTAGCCACGGTTACAGGGCAGGTTGCTGTCATGGTGAAGAGTTGACAGTGCTGGCTTTTCCTGACTCCTACACTGTGATCCCTGGTTGGTTGGGCTTCTTTCCCCGGAATCCCCGATGCCACTTCACAAAAGGACACAATTGGGGCTTCCCTGGTGGCACAGTGGTTGAGAGTCCGCCTGCCGATGCAGGGGACACGGGTTCGTGCCCGGGTCCGGGAAGGTCCCACATGCCACGGAGCGGCTGGGCCCGTGAGCCATGGCCGCTGAGCCTGCGCGACCGGAGCCTGTGCTCCGCAACGGGGGAGGCCGCGACAGTGAGAGGCCCGCGTACCGCATTTAAAAAAAAAAAAAAAGACACAATTGGCACAAAAACCCAACCCAGAGCAGTCCCGTTGTCACAAGGCCCCTCCTTGCAACATTTGTCTAATTCATCCAGAATGGATCACCACTCAACCTGAAAGCAGAGGCTTAATTAAGGGCCTCTTGGGAGAGTTTGAATTTATTTCCATTTTGAAAAGCAAATCCTAGCAGGGTAGATTTTCGGGAGCCAAGACCAAAACTCCTCCTCAGGCCCAATTCACTCAAGCCAAAGGTAGGGCCAAGAGGCAGGGGCCACGTGGGAAGAGCAGGGTCACTCTGGGCCGGGCTTTGGCAGCACAGAAGGACAGAGCAGGGCAAGGGGCCATCCTGTAAAGGAGCTCGTGTCTCTAGCTTGATCCCTGCCTCCGTCCTCCGGGCGCTCATTCTGGCTAAGTTTTGACCAGCCTACCCCCCGTCTTGTTGACGGCCCTTCTCCAGAGATGCTTAAGAAAGAACGAAGGCTTGAGGTTAGGATTTGCATGGGTTTTGCTCAGTCCAGCTGTTAATCCCCCAGGTCAAGGTTGCAAACTCAAACCCTGCCAACAGGGTCCAGGCAGATGGCACAAAGCAGGGGGCGGTGGAGAAGCCGCTGGCTTGGGCTCCCCGCTGCACCTCCCGGCTGGTCAACTCGCTAAGCCCCTGTTCTTAATGCTAGACTGATGGAGAGGAGAGGGAAGAGGAAGGGCTGGGGGTGAGGGAACCCCTTCTCTCCCAAGGGAGCGCGTCCAGGCGGGAGGAGGAAGGCGAGGGGCTCCGCCCCTCGGGCCTCCAAGGGCAAATCCCCGGGGACCTCCCGCTAAGGGAGGGAGGGGAGCCGCCTCGCCCCACCTCCAGCCCGCGCCCCAGACGGTTTGGCTTTCCGAGTTGGGCCGCCCTAAGCGAAGCTGGGGAAGGGCCGGCAGCGCTCGGCGCCCCCCGGCCCGGCGCGCGCGTCCAGCCGGTGGCCGCGGAGCACCCCCAGCGGGTCGCTGGCCGCAGGGCCGCTGTCCTCGGCGCTGGGCCGCTCCTGCGAGCAGGAGGCGGGCGCGGGCGTGGCGCGGGCGCGCGGCTTGAGCACGCTCAGCGGGTCCCCGCCGTCGTGCGCGCTGCGCGTGTGGCGCCGGGGCCGCGCGGTGGCGAAGTGCAGCAGCGGGATCTCGTTCCTGCGCGACAGGAACTGCGCGTACGGGGGCGGGTTGGTGCCCGGCAGGAAGGCCCGCTTGGCCCGACCCAGGCTGACGAGGAAGCGGTGCTGCGGCGAGTGGTACACGTCGTAGCCGTTCTCCAGCGTCCGCTGCCGGAACCTGCAGCTCTCGGGGCTGAAGTGATGCTGAAAGCGGGGCGGGGCGACCGGGTGAGGCCGAAGCCCTCGGCGGGCTGGATGCGACCAGCTCCATCCCGGGACCCCAATCCTCCCACCCACTCTCCTCGGGCCTTGCCTTTAACCCCGTCGTGCCCTGCTGAGCAAAAGTGATTTCCACTCATTTCCAAACTGCGGTTACGACTGGCAGGTGGGGACAGGCTTGGGAACCTCGCGGCCCCGCCTGGGGACCCGCCGCCAGCACTTGGCTGCCTGGGGCCGGGCTGGACGGAGCCGGCGCCTCTGTGTCTGCTTTCTGGACGGAGGCCTGCCCTCTCTCTGCCTTTTCTTTTTGGCTCAGAGGTGGCTTCCGTCTGTCTCCTCACCTGGGCAAAGGTGGGCTGGGGTTTGTAGGGCCACACATAAGTAAGGAGACTCCCCCTCGGAGGCAGAACAGAGTTTGGGAATTAGGGACATGAACTTCGTCACCAGGTGACCTACGTGAGCCCTCACTCTGCCACTAACTGGTGCTGCGTTTTGCTAAGTGCCTGCTAGGGCCTTTACGTAGGATGTCCTTTAACCCTCAGAAGTCCACGAAGTAAGTATTTTACAGATGAGGACTCTGTATATGCCTATATGCGGTCAACAGGTATTTATGTACTTATTTATCTAAATTTGTTCAACAGATATTTATCTACTCTGGGCCAGATACTATGGTGGGTGCTGGGACACAGCAGTTAAAGTAAAACAGAAAGTAATTGCTCTCTTGGAATTTCTGGTGGGAGGAGCTTCTGAGATGCACAGCCCTGCTTCTGTCCAGTGCCCCCGTGCTTTGGGATATGCTGCGCCCTGTAGTTTGGGAAAGCCCTTGCTCACCAATCCAAAAGACCAGCCATCACAGCTGGGGCCGAGGGAGTTCGTTACAGATCTTGATTTGGGGGAGCCCCACAGGGCACATGGTCCATCCCACTTGACTTTTTCCAGGTGAGGAAACTGAAGTTGAGAGAAATAGGGGACTTGCCCAAGGTCAAGGATGTCTAGTAACAAGATCATGAGACCCCAGTGGCTTCTCACCCTTTCTTTCTAATGGACTTTCCAACATGAACGTATGTGACTTGAGGACCTGGGCTGCAGACAAGGTGCTGTGCTAGTTAAAAAATGGGGACCAAAGGGCAGGTAGGACTAGAGACTGAAAGCCCAGATGCTCCAAAGCCAGATGGCCTGGGTTCAGACCTCAACTGTATAAACCTGAGCATTTGATACTTAGATGGAAAAAAGTACTCAGTGAAAACATCACCCAGGTAATCTGCAAGTGGAATCTTTAAGCTGTAAAATTCTACATTTTGCCAGAGCAATGAGATAATTATTTGCAAAGAATTGTCCAGCACAAAAAGAAACTCACAGATCCAAAAATGTTGCCTCTGAAGTCCATGCAGAGATATCTCTGGCTCACCACCCCTGTTATCACCACAAAGCCCCCATCCTCAGATCTGATCATCAGGGCACCTATGGAGAAAATCATTCAAGTCAAAACCCGGCTTCACATCCAGCCCCTACCTCCAAGGACCCTCCCTTGATTGATCTAAAGGGTGGTGATGATTTCACAGAAGCCTCCTTCCCCCTCCCCTCCCCCCGCTTGCCTCCTGCGTCTCCTCCTGCCTGTAGGGAACGCCCTGAACTCGCAGCTTTCTTCCACCTGTACCAACCTGTTTCTCTCTCTGCTTGGACTCTATTTTCCCCTTTGCCTGGCTCATACTTCTCAATGTTTGTGGTGGGGTCACATCCTCCCAAGCCTTACTGCTTTTGTGATTTGTCTTTCAAGCATCCAGCTTGACCCTCCTCCCAGGGAGCCGTGCAGGAGTCAGTGATAACAGCAGTCAGCGCCCTTTATGTGTCAAGAACTGTATTCGGATGGATCTTCTCCCCCCCCCCCCC